AAAAAAAAAAAAAAAAAAAAAAAAAAAAACACATCATAGTAAAACCAATACCTTCTCAGCTTCGCATCGAAGCTAAAAATTGTATTCTTATACATTTAGAATACATTCGGTGATTCCAAAATATCTTAACAAATACGCAGTTTGTTGTTTTTTTTTTTTAATTATTATTAGTATAAGTTATAGAAAAAAAAGAAATTGAGATATTAATAATGGTTAAATGAATGAGGCTCATTTGGCCCGAAACATGATTTTATATATCATTTTGAATATTAATAAAGCAACAAGCTATTGTGTATTCAATTGAGAAAGATAATTAAGTAATTAAAAAAGTTTTTCTATTGTAAAAATAAAGTAAATCAAATACTCCAAAGTAAATAAGCTTATTTTCAGAATGTGGTAAAATAGCAGATCAATTACAACCACTAATTTCAAATGCAAAAAATTCTAAGCCTAGTGAAGTTCCTTGGAATGTCGGTGTTTATCATAAAGAAAATAATGTATACAGCCACATTTGCGGTGGATCACTAATTTCTCAAAATTTAGTTGTGTCTGGTAAAATATAAATCCTTTTTTTTGTTTTATAAAAATAAAACTTAATAGTAATGTTATTTTTATTTTAGCTGCTCATTGTTTTTATGATGAAAATTTAAATAAAACAAAAGATAAGAATTATTTTCAAATATATGTTGGAAAGTATCACAGAAATTATGATTCTAAAAATGAAAACCAGTACGCTAAAAATTACAATGTAAGATTATTTTTAATTAACTTTATGTTTGAAAATTGTGATGACAGCTTTAAAATTTTTGTATTTTAGATTGAAACAATTCATATAGGAGAAAAGTATGAAGGGAGTAAAACAAATTACAGTAATGATATAGCTATTCTTGTATTATCTAAACCAGTAAATATTAGTCCAGCTGTTTCCATTGTTTGCGTTGATTGGAATAATGAACACCCAGAAGTCAAAAACAGTTCAGGACTGGTAAATATTTGATAAAATTATACAAACAGGCATTGGTGAAGCAATTAATTAACTGCAAACATCTCTATAGCAAATTTGATGAAGAAAGGTCGTTGAATTTTATAGACAAGTTATTTATAATAAATAACTATAAAATAGATCAGAGAAAAGAGTTTAAAGAAATAATTTTATTATTTATATTAAATTAATATTTAGAAAAATACGAAAATTATCTAAAATTAATTAATAGTATGACATAAATTATGATAGTAAAACTACTAATCATATTATTATATTATCCATGAAAGATCCTTCTAATTTGATATTTGATAAAAAAAATGTTTTTTAACGATAAACAATGAAGTTGTAAAAGCAAAATGTTGAAATTCATTAAAATAAAGGAAAATTTTATTAGTGTCAACAACCCCTTTTATATTTGATGTTTATTAGGTAACTTTAAAAAAGTGCATTACACTAATATTTAGAAAGTAATTATTAATACTTTTAAGGTTAGTTATATCATTAATTTTTTTTTTTTTTACAATCGTTAATACCATTGGTATATCCTGGGGAAATTTAAGTGCAGTGGTTTCCCGGTGCCTTCTGCACTGGAAACATGGTGCTTCTTCGCCACTGTAGAGGCGAACGTATTGTCACCCATCCGTTCATCTATGGTGGTAGGCGCGGCTTAACACTAGAGTTTTGTCATCAACTAGTGTGACCACCGCGCCACCCCACGCTCCATGTCATTAATTGTTAATGATATTATTCCTTAGAAAAGGGAACTGATTACTGACTCGATTTTTTATGTTGTATCTGTAAATGTTACGTCGTAGTTATTTTTTTACTCTTTCCGAAAACACTCATCCTCGTGTTTAAATTGGACAACCAGTTTACCACAGTAAAATGTCTTTTAACTGAATGTATTATCTTATTAGAACCGTTTTGAATAATAATAATAATGACTATATTAGAATTTAATAATTTTTAAACTCAAAGTCAAAATCTATCTATAAAAAAACCCAGCACAGTGGGGTCGCGGCATAGTGAGATCGTTACATAGTTGGGTCCAGTATAGATTTAATCTGACAGTGATTAAAATCATTATCATAAGAAACACTTCGATGCGAATTTGTAGAGTGTTTAATTTTAAGAAATTGATGGATAATTACAAAAGCAACATCAACTTCTATTTCCTTAATTATACCCAGCTTAGTAATTCTTTTAATTATATATTATATAATTTTTAAAATTAATTGTTTTCAAATTATTATTGATTTTGATTTTTAATATGTTAAAAGTAATCATTGAACCTACTTTTTTTTGTCCTTTAAAGTGAAAGTTTTAATAAAAAAAAAATGAATTTATTACTATAACTTTTAGCTCATTTTGCAAGTTTGAAATTGACATTATTAAATAGAACAAAATGAAATTTTTAAGATTAATATGCAATCAGGAAATTTTATAATTACTATTTACAGTACAATTATTAGAAAAATTCGATTTTTTTGGATTTTTATTATAATAGATAACTGAAATAGAAATAATAGTAATCATTTCCTAATAACTTTTAGTGTTTAAAAAGATTGAACTAAATGAACCAATCAAAACAAAGTTGTTAAAAAGATTTACTCATTTGAGCGTATTATAAAATTTGATTATAATTGTAAAAATCCATCGTTAAATTCAGGTGAAACTAAAAATCATTTTTTTTTTAAATTTATGAATTATATAGCAACATATTACAAAAAAATTTGGAATATTATTAACTGGTAGTAGCACACACAAATAGAGTTAAAAAATTAATAAATTACAAAGTAAAATTATTTACTTTTGTAGTTGAATACTTTTATCATATTAAATCTAATTCGACAATAAATACTTTAAGAATATTAGAAATTAATGATTTTAATTGTTTGTATGGAAAAAGCTGGTTAAGCTACTTTTTATTTGAATAAGGAATATTTTTTCGATTTTTAAGAGTAATAACTTAAACTAAATACGAATTGTAATCATTTGACGTATCATTGAAAAAAGTACGTCTAGTGAGGGTTGGCAAAATAAATCGTAGTCACAAAAAGAACCACATAGTAAAATAATATTAACATGAATATTGTTTGAACGGAACGCCCGGTTATAATGTGCTGGTTAGTTAACGTCCAGTTGGATTATTTAATTATGCTGGAGAAAGAAATAGTGAGTGGACTGTATATAAGAGGATGGTATTTACACTAAATAAAATAATAAGAATTACGAGACAAGGAGTTATATATTAAAGTAACAATATACATATAAACTATCATAGAATTGTGGATTGGGGGGGTCACTTAATACTAAAATGGCCAACAAGGCATCTCTGAACAAAATAGATAAAATATAATATAATAATTACAAACAAATAAAAACTTAACTGTGTAACGTACAATAGATGAAAGAAGACTGATGACGGTGAGAAATGAACAGTTGGAATACTTTACATTAAAATGTTGAAGATTACAAGGGTAGTCGATACAAACGGAGGCACTTGTTGTGTACACGAAGGGCACACAATGGCATGGACTGTTAAAGCAATTCTATACCTACGACGAATCACCAGGGTGGTTAATCCATTAAAGCGATTATGAGCTAAGTGCACCTTAGAACCACGTAGCAAGGGCTAGCAATGGTGGCGAGAACGCAAAACTGACAAAAGGGACCGATAATAGATCGGCGAGACACAGTAATCACATACACTAGCATCCAACGTAGTGAATCGCTCACACAACCGGTGGTGGTAGTGCGAGAGACGTTATCAGTCATAAAAATAAGATGTAGCAAAACGCCCTCTCGTATGCGTACCGATAAATATAAATTTCTTCTCACGAGGGGAGACTATAGTAATAGGATCCTTTATATTTAATAAAGTTATTGAATCTAAATGAGGTAAATATCAAATGATTTGAAAATTTTATTCTAATTCAAAAAAAATGTAAAATATAGATTATCACAGATGGATGGGAACCTCGTACCGTAAGCATGATAGAGACAAGTGTTACCAATTCGGCAACTGTTCGGTGCTCTCGTCGTTTGCTAAAATTGGCTATTTAAGCTAACTCAAATTTAAAAATTACTTTTTCGACTTTAAAAAAATAAAAAATTTTAAATAAGTTTACTTTCTTATGTCTTATGAACTTTATTCTATGTCAATTAAATTATAAAATATTCATTAAAGTCAGGTTATTGCCCTTATAAGATATTTTAAAATAAAATAAAATACAAAACCCAGGATTTTACACAAAAATAGCATATTTTTGAATACGATAGCCATTTGCGCATAGACAAAAGATGGTCGGACAATTTTTTTTTTTTCATTTTATAGTACATAAAAAAGCTTTATTTATTTTATTTTATTTTTTTTATTTTATTAGCTTCGATGCGAAGCTGAGAAGGTATTAATTTTACCATGATGTGTTTATTTTTTTATTTTTTATTTTTTTTTTTTTTTT